TCCCCTGATTGCAGGAGGAATGAGAAAATCACAATATTTAGCAATAGAGGTCAGCTACTCCAGTAACTGTCATCCAGTGATTTACATACCTGAATGAATTTGGTTTTTCAGTTGATTTCCTTGCGTTGTCCCCTTTTCATACTTTAGGGACAGTTCTGAGCCTTAATTATTTCAATTGCTACTAATTATTATTATTTCTATACTGGATTCCGAGAAGAACTCAGATAAGTAGAAAAATTCTAAATAAAATTCTAAATAAAACCAACAATCTTTAAAACATTAAATTCAGAAATCTATACGGGGCTCATAAAAAAAAAAAAATAAAAACAATAGAACACCAAATCACAACTCAGTTTGATCCTGGCACAGTTATTTCAGAAATGCCTGGGTGAACAGCTATTTGATTGCCTTCTAAAATAAAGACAGTTTAGAAATCAACTTTTCTCACTAGGCAGAGGGTTCTGCAGTCTTCTGGTAACATAACCTTCTACGGTATGTCTGGGAGAAAACAAGGGCATTTTTCTCCATATGTTTTATTAAACATCCCAATTAAAACAAAGCAGCCACCAAAATGAATAAGGGACAAAGACAAATAAACTCAAACTTTATTAAAAGACAGGAGTCAGAAAAGGGAGATAGCTAGGGTGAGGGAATATATTAAATGGAATTGGGAACTCTAGCCATCCAGTTATTATCTGATTACAGTTCCCATAGGAGAGTAATACCGAAGGGCCACAATTTATACAAGCTTGAAATAAAATTGTCAATGGCACAAAAGCTATAGTGGGAACTTCCCTCTCTCTTTTTCTCAAAATGCTAGCATTCAGAATTACAAAATGAATTTTTGCTTGCTGGTTCCTTCAGGACACACACAAGAACACAATATAATGCAGCATTGTTTTCTAGAGTTAACCAGGCCATATTTATGGGATTGAATAAAATGTTTAAACTTCTCCAAACAACAGTAACCTGAAGAGTATCTGAATGAGTCCCTACGTGCAAGCGCAGTGTGTCTCAGAAAGATAAAAAAAACAGAAGCAAGTACAGGAATTGCTTTTAAGCCTTCTTGTTGGGTTTTGAAGAAGTTTTTAGCTGCTCTGGAAAATAGAATGCTGGATTAGATGGATCTTTGGTCTGATTTGCTAGATTTTCTCCTTATTAATCCTGATACTTAGGAATAGAAATCCCATGCACAGACCTCTACATCTATGGTGGAAAACAAATCATAGTGGAGAATTATAACCATTCTATTTTGTTTGTGGATTTTCTCTGTATCTGGCTGACCGCTAACAAAATAGAAGAGTGGACTAAATAATCCCTTACTGATCTGATCTTCCAAATGGAAATTAGATATAGTTTAGAGTGTAGTTATTATGCAGCATGCTTTAAAAGCATATGTAACTACTTTGAATATTCTTGGTATTTTTCTGCATGTCTCTACAGTGGCCAACATTAATTTTTTTCACTCATAAACTCAGCTAACGGTTACATTTTAGGTGCCAAAACAAAGTCTGGGTGTCTATTATTTTGTTTTCAAGCTTTGGCTGAGTCTTAGATTTTTCTTTTTTTTCCACCTTGTGTCTTAGGTTAAGAAACAAATATTGGATGAAGAAATTTACTGTTCTCCTGAGGCTACAATTTTATTGGCATCTTATGCAGTCCAAGCTAAGGTGAGGCTTTATAATTGTTAGTTTGTCACCTTTTATAACACATATGCAGAGTGTTAATTAACACAGAAAAGGATCTGCTGAGACTTAGCTGGAAATAGGAAGTGGTATTTTTTCACCTCATCTGTCTCTATTTGTGGGTGTTTTGCAGATTTGTTTAATAAGTACACCCTGTTTAGATTTCACAGGAGGTCAGTGGATTAAATGCAGAGAAGAGACTGAGATATCTTACTTCATTTTAAACAAAAAACAACTGTGGAACAAAATGCAGTTTAGACTGCAGTGGGCATTCTGAGTACAGATAATTCTAAACATATGACTGCTTGTTTAGCAAAGTTATGCTGGACATAGCAAACAATGGGTTTGCTTAACAACTGTGGCTTTCACTTTATGACTGCAGCACACAGTTTATGAGCACCGCATAAAAAGTTGTAAAATTGAGTCAGTCACATTGCTGACCTATTATGCGACCATCACGAATTATGATCTATGGCACAGTCATAAATTAGGGTCTACCTGTAAGATGGTAATTTCTCTTTCCCATTCCCCTTTTTTCTTAATTAAAAATAATTCTCTAGCATGCATTTGAGGAATTCCTGCATAAAGTCTCTTCCTGACCTGTCCTCTTTCCTGAATCATCCTTTAGAAAGTTAAAGGGGGGCAGCTGTAACTGTGTCATCCAACCTTTCTTAGCACTGAACAGAGAGCTGCTATACCCTCCCTTGCTAGTTACTGGCAGGAATCAGCCAGTTTTAGTCCAGAACTGAGACAGAGCAAATGAAATGACAGGATGTTTTGCCTTTCATTATTCCTGAATGTGTTTGGGCATATAATATATATATGACAGGAGGATGGCACCGGTCCCAGTGGGATATCATATTTGTCCCACCATACTGCTAGTGGTGGGCTAGCTATTTGGCGATGACTGGGATTAAATTGTGGAACTCAGTGACACGACATGTTTGTTGATTGATTTATGAAATTTATACTCTGCCCCAACGTGTTACAACTCTGGAAGTTTTATGAAATGAATCTACAAACAAAAACTGATCAAAAGTCTGGAAAAACAAGCAGCAATCATTAAAAAAAAAAAAAAACCCATAAGAACACCACAGTCTGTTACCTACTTTGTTACCCATTCTGACTCTGAATCTTGGGACTCAGTTTCAATAGGGCTGGTGGTTTGGGGCCAAAGCACATAACGTTCAGAGAAACTTGTGAAGTATGATCTGTAAAACTGGTTTAATGATCCAGATATGTATACATCCAAAAATCTATGCATTATTCAACAAACGTTTGTTATAGAAACTAAGGTTTACAGGCAATGTGTGAACCCAGCTTGGATGATTTGCTTACAAAGCTGTACCACTAATCTGTAGTTCTCTCTTTAAGAAGTCATTAAGATCTCCTTTTCCTAGCCATTGGTGCTTAAGCCAGAGCTAGACCCATTGCACTCTACTGTGGGTGGTGTTAACAACAAAATCAAAAGGGGATCCATTAGGAGTTATGGTATTGGATTCTTCTTGAACTGTAAACTAGTGTATATTTGGTACCAAACTGATAAACTTTCAGGCATATTTTACCAGGAAGGTAAAATTCTCAGGAAAATTATTTCCGGCAGGTTTTCTTTGCTCCTCAGCCTTCAGATTTCACTTGTAAAAACCTTTGAGAACTTTAGCCAATTTTTAGTTGTTCTGTTTATGATCAAATGATTCAGTGTTTTATCTTTTTTTTCCTTTTAAGTGTTAATTTAGATCTTATACTATGCTGTCAATTCTTTGTATACAGTCTTTTCCTGTTAACTTGTCTGATACTTCTTTCCCTCACAGTATGGTGACTATGACCCGAATATGTACAAACCAGGTTTCTTAGCTCCAGAAGAGCTTTTACCAAAAAGAGTAAGTGTTTTCACACTTTCCTATCCACCTGGTCATGAATAGGAATCCTCAGATACCCAAAATAGCAGAATTAGCCAGATAGGGAACAGCAGATTTGCATGATTCATAAAACAACAACTTTTCCCCAAAGACCAGATATTTCTATTCATCCTTTTATGACAGATTGTTTCTCTCTTTGTTTTCTAGAGAGTGGGAAACTTTAAAATTCTGATGTTTCTCAAGCAACTATTGGAGAATGTGAGCTCTTAGCTATGAACGGAGATTTATAACTCCTTCAAGATATCTTCTCCAGGGGACTCCTGGTTCATGAGCTCAAAACTGAGTTATACCTGACTCTGGTGTTTCCATCCTGGTTTAATGTTCTTCTTCCAGATAGAATCCAGACTGCTCTTCACGAATGGGGAATTTATGACAAAATCAAACCGAAGTTAGCAGTGCACTATTAAGTTACCAACAAACTGAAAGGCTTCTGCAAATGGGAATCAGTTTGCTTCTAATCCTGCAGCATTTTAGGTCCTTCCAAAGCAGATCAGTTTTTCATACCTGCATGAACATCCTTCTTGAAGTTTGAAAAATAAATCTTTTTGCCATTGTTTTCTTTTTTGTTCTTTATTTTTCTTTTACCTAGGTTCTCCGTCAATATCAGATGACACCTGACATGTGGGAAGAAAGGATTACTGCCTGTTATGCTGGACATCAGGGAATGGCCAGGTACAGCAACACTCTTTCTTTGCAACTATAGTTTGGAAAAAAAGAACTTACATCCATTAGCACCTGATTTTTTTTGGGGGGGGGTCAGTGACACATTTTTGCCCCTTCCAAACTTGGGTGCAACATTGTGATTAAGTTACATTCCTTCCATACTTTTGTGCAACATCATGACACAAATACAAGGGGCAGGGTTTCAGTTTGGTATAGTGCAGTGGTGGCGAACCTATGGCACGGGTGCCAGAGGCGGCACTCAGAGCCTTCTCTGTGGGCACACCCCAGTCCTAGGCCTTCAGCTGGGTTTTATAAAACCTTTTCGCTTTAGGCCTCCGCCGACGTGTGCCAAAAAAAAAAGGTTCAATGTCAATTTCAATTTCTTGCGGGGGAAAAAAAAAGATCTTGCAAAGTTGGAATTGATTGATTGAACTTTTTAGTCCCACCCAGTCTGCCGTTACCACTGCAGCCATGCCCACCCAATTGGCTACGCCCACCCAACTGGCCACACCCAGCCAATGGGGCACACCTACCCGGCACTCAACGATGCATAAGTGGGTTTTGGGTTGCAGTTTGGGCACTCGGTTTCTAAAAGGTTCGCCATCACTGATCTAGTGGTTAAGGCATCAGGCTAGAAACCAGGAGACTGAGTTCAAGTTCCACCTGAGGCATGAAAGTTGGCTGGGTGACTTTGGGCCACTCAGTCTTTCTCAGCCCAATTTACCTCACAGGGTTGTTATTGTGGAGAAAATAGGAAGAGGAAGGAGTATTAGGTACGTTCACTGTGTTGAGTTATTTATAAAAATAATAAAGGTAGGATAAAAACATAAATAAATCAGGATGTCACAATACACATTTCATGACTTTGTCACTTTGCCCTTATTCATCTGTTTTTTTCCCCATGGAACATAGTAGAAGCTAATAAGAATTTAGATGAATCATACCTTGAATTCACTTCTTGATACAAAGTTTGATCCAAACAGATGGGAACTCAGAAACTCAAGTTCTCTCATCACTCTGCTCCTGCTTGTTGATCTCACCTCTGGGCGACAGACAAATTTAATAAGTAAATAAATACATAACTGTACTTTTGTCAGCACTTCATTTAAATTGCTGGTTCCAGGCTTTTTAAGACTAAAAGCAACATGTCTGGTTAAGAATAGTTTCCTTTTTCGAGAATCTGTCCAAGTTTTGACATCACTGTTTGTGGCCTGCTCTGTCCAAAGCCTTTAGATGTTTGACAGATTGTCCCAAGAGCAGAACCTTTTGCATAGCATTACCAGGACTTCAGAATATCCTTTCAGGAAAAGGATTTTTCAGTTGGGGATCATTCAGCTGAATGTAAAATTTTCTCAGAATATTTCCAATTTGTTTGGATGTGCCAAGTGAAGCTATTTCTATGTCATGGTTGAATTTTCCATCTATTTATGTGATTTTTATAGAGGCCATAGTGCAATTTGTAAACCACTTTGATTACCAATGGTAATAAAACTAGGTAAGATTATTTCACAGTCAATAAATACAGCCTTGGGTGACAATAATACAGAACAATATATTTCCTTTATGTAGCAAGAACAATCCTTTCTAAGACTTTTTTTTTAAAAAAATAACTATTCCATTCTTCTAGATACGAAGCCGAGATGAACTATCTTAAAATAGCACAAGACTTGGAGATGTATGGGGTTAATTATTTTCCAATTGCTGTAAGTATGTATGATTTTTAATGCATCTGATTCAGATTTTTCTGACAGTCTCAGATGTCTGATTGTAAATCCCTTGTGCCTCAGCAGTATTGCCAGTAAAAAAAGGGGCATAACACCTGAGAGTCTCATCAGCATTGTCTGTTGTGACTTGGAGCAATTTGCCTGACTTAAAAAGTGTTCTCCATTATAAAAATGCCATGCCTCTTAAGCAGATCTCTTGGTCTTATATTTTTCAATGTGTATTCATGTTACCTAACATAAGGGTAAATTCTAGTTTATAGATGCCTGATGTTTGACTCTTTTATATGAAACAATGAGGAAAAAGGTGACAAGAGGCAAAAATACTGGTCATGTACTTCATTGTATAGAGACTAGTTGAGCAACAATGAGGATAATTGAATAAGACAATAAAATTGCCAGTTAAGGCAGGTGTTTACAGATACTCTTTGACTTACAACAGTTTAGCAACTGTTTGAAGTTAGAACAGCACTGAAAAAAGAGTCACCTGAAAAGCAAGATGGGCAGCAAATAAATTTAACAAACAAGCAAACAAACAAACAAATAAATAATTGACTTACAGCCAGTTCTTACACTTACAGTACAACTGTTGCAGAATCCCCATGGTCATGTCATCAAAATTCAGGTATTTGGTAATGGGCAAATTTATGATGTTTGCCGTGTCTGGAGTCATATGATCACCATTTACAACCTTCCCAGCCAGCTTCCCACAAGCAAAGCCAATGAGGGAATCTGGATTCACTTAATACAGTGGTTCTCAACCTTTCTAATGCCGCGATCCCATAATACAGTTCTCCATGTTGTGGTGACCCCCAACCACTTATACATCACTGGGTGCCAGGGGCGTGGCCAAAGAAAAGGGGGAAAAAATGGCGGACAGCCTTGTTTGGCGACCCCCGTGAAATGGTCGTTTGACCCCAAATGGGGTCCCGACCCACAGGTTGAGAACCACTGACTTAATAACTATGTGATTTATTTAACTATTGCAATGATTCATTAAACAACCATGGCAAACAAGATCATAAAATTGGGTGTGACTCATTTAACAACCACTTTGTTTAGCAGCAGAAATTCTGGTCCCTGTTGTAATCATAAGTCGAGGACTACCTGTGCCATGAATCTGAAACAGTGAAATGTGCATGTTAGGCCAAATTAAGTTGTAATGGGTTGATGTCAGAGGATGAATATATTAACCAATAAAGGAGAATAGTTGTAGCCCTGGGTTGAAATGAAGGGCCCTTGGTGCTCTCTGAGGTAGATTGTTGTTTTTTTGCAGACGTTTCATTACCCAAACTAGTAATACCATCAATGCTAGTCAGTGCACAAGATGAATACATTGATTTTCACCTTGGACTTCTCTGTAGCAAAAGAAGAATCATACAGACTTCCTGCTTGGGGTAGATGCCAAAGGGATTCATGTCTACAGCATCAATAACCGCTTCTCTCCAAATAAGTCTTTTGAGTGGAGCAGCATCCAAAACATTTCTTATTCTGACAAAGAGGTAGGTGGATGTGCTGTGGGAATTTTGCTTTGAGATGAGTGGTAGATCTATTGGAAAGAGACTAGGTCAGTAAAGTAGCTTAATTGCTTTTGAGCTAATAAAATTGTGTATTTTTTTAAAAATAAATTTACTACCTAATTTCATACTTCCAAGTTGACAAGGGGAAACACCTAATGACAATGATCCTAATTAGAAGGACCTGAGATAGCTTTATATATTATGCCCTGATCATCTATTTATAGCTATTAATATCTATTAATCTGTTAACATATATTGCATTTTTATAATTTATAAATTTTGGTCCCTTTAAAAAAAAAAGAACTAAGAATGTTTACACTGTTCAGGCCAAAATTAAGAATCACATGTAAGATATTTATTCTAGAGAAAGTATGAAGTTATATAGCATTAAAAACAACCATTTTAACAAAATAATAAAAAATAGACATAATAGAAAAATGGTTTTATGTTTTTCATAAATATTAGTAATCTAATAGAATCTACTTTTCCTGAAAATACATTATGATTTCTTTCCTAAAATACATTAATGATTTCAGAGAAGCTAATGTACTAAAACAAGAGAGTTATATAAGTGTTAACTAAACTGATTTTAAAAATACAAATTTTCCTGCAGGATAAACTGGGGCTGGGAAGTCAGAGAAAGCAAGGGAGGGGGGCACTAATCTAGAGCCCACTTCAACCTACATATTTCCTGAAATTAACTAGAATTTCAGGGCTGTGCTTGATAAAATGGATGTATGGTGGTGATGTATTATATGCTTTTTATTCAGTTCCAGTCTCCAAACTATGGTAGGACTGATCCCTGAGATACCCCACTATATACCTCTCTCATGTTGGCTACAGTTGTTCAACTGTGAACCTCTCACTGGGAACACCCATCCCACCTTGTTCCGGTTTATGAACTAGTCTACTTTATAAAATGCCTTCCTGAAGTCTAAGTTTGAAAGTAACACCAATAAACTATAGGGTAACAATAAGGACCAATAGGTAGCATAATAATAATTGAAGGAAAAAAAGTTGACACAATCTCCAGTGGAAGCAAGTTTTCTACATCTGCATTTAGTGTATAATGATCATTTGGAAAAAAACCCACCCTCCTTTTTCTTTCAGCTTACAATTAAGCCTATTGACAAGAAAGCTGAGGTTTTCAAATTCTTCTCCTCACAGCCTAAAGTCAATAAACTGGTGAGTGCTTTCCTATATAGAAGACTATTTGTTCAGTCCTTGGTGCTCTCTCAGTTGATTGTCTTCATGTAGACAGTTCATTACCTGACTAGATAACATCATCAGTGTGAGTGAATGTGGGGTTTTCTCCCTGTTTATATATAGTAGCTTGCTTTACCAGTGTTGGTGGGAGTGTGATTCTCTTCTTTCTGTCCCACTTTTGTCCTATTATAAACCTGCCCCATTATAATCATGGTCAAAGACAGTGGCCTCACCATACCAATCTATGCTCGGTTGGAACAGAAATCATGTGGGACTGAATAGCACCGACTGCCTAGACATTGCTGAATGGTTTGATTTTTAGTGAAAATGATTAAAGCCATAAATGATTGTGAGGAAGCAAATGAGGCCGTGTTGTTTTTTTTTTTACAGTATATACCTATCTAGACATTAAGATATGCAGGGTAAGACTTGCTCCACTCCCCATAGCTAGGAGAGCCAAACTAGATGAGGATTTATTTATCTTACAGGGTTTATAGACTACTCCAGTCAGAACTGTTTTTGAGCAGTATACAGTTCCTGCCTCTGTTACCCTGATTAAAAATGAAAACAAAAATGCAAAATCTATAACATCCATAAAATCAAATGCACAGGACTGGGAATATATAATAGTCAAGCAAAATAGAATTATTATCCATTGGTAGAAGTACCAATCATTCTCCTCAATTCCTAGGGTATATTGGAATAGCCAAATCTTTTGAAACTTTCTAAACATCAAAGGGAAGGATCCATTTGGAAGTCCAGGGAATCCCAACGGAGGGGGCAGTGATAGAAAATGCACATTTCTACCTTTCTTTCATATGGACCCCCTTCTGGAATACCTTTTCCCTGGAGGCCAAGCTGATGGTGATTTTATCTGGTTTTGATACCAGTGAAGTCTTGACTTTTAATTCTCTCTTTTGGGGCTTACCCTTCACAGCATAATTATGCCCTTTGTCCCTTAAAATCTCTGTCAGTTACCAAGATCAGTATTCTGTTTTAGATTAGTTTATTATTTATCCTTTGGGTAGTGCTGAGCTATATCCAAGTTCTGTACATTCCTTTATCAACCTAGGAAATATCAACTTAGAAACATATATGTGTCTCTCCCCATTATAACATTCCTAAATGAAAACAGTCTTCTAGGTAATGTCAGGTCCAAGCCAAGTACAGATATGGAGGTTATCAATGGATTTTTTAAGGGCATTCGGGAAATAAGGATTACCAGAATTGCATGTCATTCTATAATACCATTTTTTAATATTTTTCTGAGGCATGTAGATAGTGGCTGCTGAAAACCAAATAAATCAGAGATGAGTTTTAGTATTACCTGGAGAACTAAATTGACTCTCTCTCCATTCAGAGGGAGTTGTTACTCCATAATTGAGTATTATGGAATAATCGGTGAAGGACTATTGTGTTTATACTTCTCAGACACAACTGGTAGACTACTGAAGGAGATTGGATACTGGACTCCTGTTGAATAACTCCAGGAAGACATTTTTCTTTTCTTCTTTCTTGCAGATCATGCAACTCTTCATTGGAAACCACGACTTGTTCATGAGAAGGAGGCGAGTGGATCCCATTGAGATCCAGCAGATGAAAGCTCAAGCCAGAGAGGAGAAAGCAAGAAAGAAGGTGACTCTTAAAGCTGGTTCAAATGCTAAAGAATTTCACAAATTTTGAACTCACTTCCAAGCTGGCAGACAATGATCAGATATATATCATTATCATTATAATTCTAATGATTTTTGCAACACTATATTGGGTATCAGTCTCACACAAAAGTTAAAGTGGACAACGTACTTGGGACATTGACTGGAATAGAATATTTTATTTGGTCAAGTGTGATTAGATACACAAGGAATTTGTCTTTGATGCAGAAGCTCTCGGTGTACATGCAAAGCAAGAGATAATAATGATGATGATGATGCCAATAAAAGGGGATAGTAGAGAGATGAGAAGGATAATAATAATTCTACAGCCATACAGCATTGGGGAATATAGAGTGTTTAAATATAAAACAATACTATGAGGATTAGGTGTTCAGCAAAGTGATGACACAAGGGAAAAAACTGTCCCTATCTCTAGTTGTTTTGGTATATAGTACCTTATAATGGCGTCCCAAGGGGAGGAGTTGAAACAGTTTATGTCCAGAATGTGAGAGGTCTGTATTTATTTTCTCAGCCCTTCTTTTGACCAACATAATATACAGCCTATGGAAAGTAGGCTGGTTGGAATTGTTTTTTCTACAGTCCTAACTATCCTTTGGAGTCTGTACCTATTATAGTGCTAACTTCCATGTGTGGCCCAAACATACATAAATATTCAAAGCATTATAATAAACTTTTTAAACCTAGTGAAGAGAATCTGAAAGGGCAGTGATATACATTTTTGTTGAGGTAAGTACCTTTTTAAAAGAAAAGTAGATTTTGATCTATTTTGAGTCCCTCTTTGTAAATAACTGTGGGAAGTTTAATACATGGTTTTTTGTTTTTTTTAAAAAAAAATCAGGAACAAAAAAGGAATGGCTCTTTTTCCTTTTCTTTCTGATTTTTTTTAATTGTATCTGCTATGCTGTTTGCTGTGCAGGTTTGCAAACTCCAGAGAAGTATTTCTGGACAGTAAAAAAAAACCCACATTATAAATAAATATAAAATCAATAACTTAAACCTGCAGTTAATTTTTGGCAGATTTATTTGCAAGACAAAGGATAGGTCCCGTCCCCTGGGAGTTACAATTGAAAAGTATGTATTGTAAAAGGAGGAATGGAAAAATCAGAATAAGGTGAGCCTGGCTTCATTGTGCTATGCAGTTCTTGCACATGTCCAACCTTGCTCATTCCTCAGATGGAGCATCAGAGGCTGGCCAGAGAGAAGCAGCTGCGGGAGGAAGCCGAGCGAGCCAAAGAAGAACTGGAACGACGCCTCTTTGAGGTGGAAGATGAAGCTCGGCAAGCTAATGAGGCTCTGGTGAGCATTGCTGTAGTAATGAAGCCTAGTGGTAGGTACTCCAAGGGCTTCTGGTCAATTGTCTCCATTTTGCACCCACTTAAAATTTTTATTTTATTTTATTTCATTATTTCATATTATTTCATTTCATTTTTTTAAATTTATATGCCACTGTCTCACTATCCAGAGAGCCTCTGGGCAGCTTACCATATGAGGTGCTTGTTTTTAAATTCTCCTCCAGCGCCGTTCAGAGGCAGCAGCAGAGTTATTGGCTGAGAAAGCTCAGATAGCTGAGGAGGAAGCCAAGCTGTTGGCTCAGAACGCTGCCGAAGCAGAGCAGGAGCGCCATCGATTAGAGTTGGCAGCCTTGAAAACCAGCGAGGAGAAACGACTGATGGAGCACAAGATAAGGGAGGCCGAGCTGATTGCCATGAAGCTGGTGAAGGAATCCGATCGAAGGTGACACTCTGTACTAGAAACTTAGTTGGTCATTCTGCATATGCTCCCTCAGATGTTTTTGATGAAAACACGTGTACAGGAAGTCCTTGGCTTATGACTGGTTCGCCTGTCAATCATTTGAAGTTACAGCCTACCTGGAAAAAGGGAGTTATGACTCTGTTCCGAAGTTCCAACAGTCAGCCCCCTGCAGTACTGTGACCCCACTTCGGGCTTTTTTGCAACAAGATCACATGTTTGGCCATTTACAGTGTTCTAACTGTATTATTCCCAGTTTTTAGCAAAAATATGCCATAGCAAACAATTTATTTGCTTGATAACCATAGTATTTGTTTTGCGGCTGTGGCATTTGCCTAACAACCACTGTCAAAAAGGTCATAAAATTAGGTCAGTCACATGACTGAACCATTTTATGACTGTCATGACATATGACTATAATGGGCAAGTTCCATTATGGTTATATGTTGAGGACCTGCATTTCTTCAGGCTGCCTACAGCACTGGAGTTAATTAGTCCCAAGTGCAAGTTAGAAAAATTTTAATATGGCCCTCATGAACTATCATAGGCATAAGAGCTAAGTTCTGGGTTTCAGATCTTTGTTATGTTCTGATGGAATCACAAGAAAGAAAGTCAGGCCTGGAAGATGAAGGGCTGGGGTTAAGATTAAAAGACCAATCATTGGAATTTAACAGACAATAAAATGAAATAAAACTTTGTGGGAGAGAGCAGAGGCAAACCACTTGTCGCTTGCTGCAGAAAACTCCATGGATGTGTTTGTGAAATCACCAAGAATCAGTTTTTTTATTTGTGATGCATCTTGATTTTTTGGACTGTATCCTGCTGGCATTCTGGTTCCTGAATGTTAGAGGGATTCTTGGCAACGTAAACTTCAAAAGTGCATATTTATATAAAAAAGTAATTTTAAAATTATATTTAAAGAACTTATAATTATTTTTAATTGTAGTTATCATTAAACTGTATTTAAATACAAATTAAAATTTAAACAACAGTATTTAAATCCACACATTTTGAATAGTTTTTAAATTGCACAGGAATGTGGAAACAGAAAATAATTACCTCTTTTCTACTAATCTCCCAATTATTCTCTTAATGATTATGATTAATCTTTCTGCGTATGGAAAAAAAATCAGGAATTAAAATGGTGAGAGCTTTAATAAACTGAGGCTTATCAGTTACCATGGTTACCTGATACCACGGATTGTTTCAGGTTTTGCTTTTGAGCCATAAGGCAGCCCCACAAATCCCATCTATTAACAAAATTGATTGAAGCCTATTGTGCTTTCAGGGCATTAGTTAAGGACTGTCTTTGAGAAATATGGATTGATTTGCTTATGATGATAATTTGGCTTGGTAGGGTCAAAGAAGCTGAACATTTAAAACAGGACCTACAGGAAGCCAGAGAAGCTGAAGAGAAAGCAAAGCAAAAGCTTCAAGATGTCAGCAAATTTAACTCTCCTCCTGTAAGTTTTTCTTTTTAATATATGATTGCTTCAGAGATAGAATAACAACAATGATTTAATTTAATTTATCCTTAGGTAAAGGATAAACCTGCAATAGGTAGACTCTCTTTCCATCTACTAAAGTTGTCTGGAAAGAAAGGAATCATGGGGATTGTAGTATTCCATTAAAAGTATCAAAACATCTTTTAAAGCTAGAATTATGGGGCATCTTTCAAGAAAGGACTGATTAAAGAGGAAAATGTGGAGTGCTTGGTGCTCTCTGAGTTTGGTTGTTTGCTTGCAGACATTTTATTATCCAAGTAAGTAATATCATTGGTATTGATATTACTGGCAATGTTTTAGTTAGTTGGGTGATGAAATATTTGCAAGCAGACAAGCAAGTTTAGAGAGAACCAAGAACTCCATAGTTCATTTTTGAGCTAGGTATTCTCTTCTATTAAAAAAGGGAAATAATTGAACACAGAAGGCCAAACACAGAAGGGTAAAATGGTAGGTCCCCATTACATTGTGTTTGTAATTGATGCCTTCAGGGTAGGCAAAGCCTGAGGCAAACCCAGGAGTCTATTTCTACTAGAATCTATCCAGTGGTGGGATTCAGCCGGTTCGCACCAATTCGGCAGAACCGGTAGCTAATTTTTTGTTGCCCAGGCCCAGAATGGACTTCTGGAAGCGGCATCCATACAGAGAAATGGTTATTCACGTATTTGAATCCCACCACTGAGCCTATCCACAGTTTCCAGTCAGATCTGTGCTGGTCTGTAATTATGCCACCCAGTGGTGTGTTTTTCTCTGTAACATTTTCTGTATTAATTCACAATTGCATAGCAAGTGTTCAAGACCTATTCCTAAGCAACATAGGATCCAATATCATAACTTTTTGTTTTTGTGGTCTTTTCTAGCATACTGTCAAGTGTACTTCCTCTCCGCCTGCTGACACAAGGGATACCAGTGGTGACAAAGGATTTGTAAAGATGGATTTAAGAGACATTGATTTGAAGAGGCTTTCCTTGGAGATAGAGAGAGAGAGGTAGGATTGTCCTCCTGTAGCTGAAATAAGGCCAAGCAGATTCCAGATTCAGAATATTGGTGGATGAAATTTTATGCCAGAATGGTATTCTTCACACTTTGTATCTTTATTCAGAAACTTATTTTATTTCATGTTATATATTGGCATTAGGTATTTCTGTTCAGAACAGAAACCATATCCCAAATGCTAGAAATATTAAGACACCTTACTAGTTTCTGCACATCTATATGAACTCAATGATCTCTTACCATCAGAGCAGAAGTTTTACTTAAAATAGACTAAGCTGAGGTAAAGGGGAATCTTTTGAACTTTTTATCTGAAATCTGAGCAAAGGCTACTTCAGAAATAATAAAATCTCTTTCTTTGTGACATGTGGAACAATTCATTTGCATAAATTGAGGACTATGCAGCATAAATCTTCCCCTGTTGAAAACAAGGATGGTGTGTCCTTTCTGTGATTTGATAATCAAAGACCACTGACTCAGTAGTTACATCTGTGAAAACTCAAAATCTGAGTCTAAATAGGAGTGCGAACATTGAATCTTAGACAGACTTTGTTTGCTAGATTATGAGTATACAACTCTTTTACCTGTAAGAGTC